ATAATAATAATAATAATAATAATAATAATAATAATAATAATAATAATAATAATAATAATAATAATAATAATAATAAATGTAATAAACCTCTAACACTTTAATATAAGCAGTCTTCACTTACTAAATGCAATTGGGACTGGAAACTTTATTGCATGTTTGTAAATGGACACATCATTAATACATGTAACTTATGACATCATTTCCTGCTGCAGTAGTTAAGTAAATCATCTACAGTTGTTAAATGTAAATCATGTGACTGCAACTTGTCCCCTTCTATCTTCCCATGGACTTTGCTTGCTAGAAGCTCACCATGAATGTTGCAAATTGTGATCACTCTTGACAGAGGACAATAGGAAACCACTTATGTACTGTTATGTACTGTCAAGAAAGCAGCTACACATAGTCAATGGGAGTGATTGTGGAATGCCATCACCATTGTAAATAAATGCCAGTTGCCAAGAAGCTAAATCATGATCACATGGCATGGGGATGCTGTGACAGTCATAACTTCTAAGACCAGATATTACCCTTTTTTCAATATCATTGTAACTTTGGCCTGCTACTAAACTGATTGGTAAACAAGGTGTCCTTGTATTGCACCACAACAGATAGCCAAAGTGCATGAAAGTGTCACCAACACAAGCCGAAGGCCAGAAATAAGTATACAGAAAGATAAACCAGCCAACAGAAACTGAGGAAACTATAAGGTGTAAAATTAAAAACCCATAACCACCAGCAGTTACATTGAAGAAATTTATTTCTAGACAATGAGTTGGAGTAGAGTATGCAAATTGAACCTGTGGTTTGTTAACATTCTCCCCCCATTTATAGTACTCACTAATAAGTAAGGCTGGAAAATTATTCCTCCTTCCAACTTTCCATGGAACTAATGAGGAAGTTCAGAGGCTACAAATGGGCAACCCTGATTCGAATCATGGTTTGATAAATATCATCTATCAAATATATTTGAGAGAAGGGAAAATATTCTAGTTCTCATTAAGTCCTTACATAAGCTAGAGAAAGCATGTGTAACATGGCTTTAAGAATTCTTTTCAACCTCTTAATAACAACCCTGTTCTGGAATTAGTATGGTGCAGTCAAATGACTCTTCTATTTGGGTGATTTTTTTTCTAGATTCATTTTCTCCACAATCTCAGCCTGGTCTGGCCCATTTAAATTCAATCTTTCTTTTGCTGGCTTATGTTTGCAGAAATAATTTGGTTCCTTTTTGTTCAGAAATATATTGTGCTAATATTTGATTGCTTTTACATAACTTGATTCCAAGATTCTACTAGATTGGAAATAACTAATTAGAGAAAGCATCAGAACATGGTTTCTGAATTTCTTTACAACTCTTCAAGATAGTTTCCAGTCTAGAGCATGTGAGTAGAAAGAAGGATGGGTTTCAAATGGAGGAATTGACAACTTTTCAAGCTACTGCTCAGTTATCTGTCCTATGGGGATGTATTTGGAGACTGGCAACTTGCTCTGTGCCAATCAACAGTTCAGTTACAAATAACAGAATATTCACAGAATACTAAAAGAATTATGATGGATAAATACACTAGTGAATGTCAAGAGGAAGCCATATAGACCAACAAGAACCATGCCAACACTTTGCCATTTGCTCATTTCTGACATCTCCCTTGAGTTACAGCTATCTCTCAGATGCTGATATAAGTTTTCCATGTCTTAGTTACAACCAACTCAACTACTGGGGTGCACTTTCTATGGGGCTGCCCTTTTAAATTGTCCAGAAGCTGCAAATTGTATAAAACATGCTGTCCACTCTGCAAACTAGTACATAGTACTAGGATCATATCATGCTGTATTGAATGATCTAACCATTTAATTTGTTGATGTTGACCTTTAAAATCTAAATAGCCAGAGCTGTTGATTATAAGGCTGCCTCTCCTGCTATGTGCCTGGCCAGTTACTTAGATCGGTATGAATGACCATTCAAAGAAGCTAAGAATACTAGGAAAAGAACGTTTTTCTGGTTAGTTTGAAAGCTATGGAATGTGTTCCCTAGGTTAGTGGTTTATTTCCTGCACCCTCCCCTCATTTTATAAAATGTATCTTTTTCATCAAGCTTTTAAATTTTTGTTATTATTTTAGTAACTAAAATACTTCTTAATTCTGGCTGCATAAATTGTGATTTGCATTTGTTACTGCTGCCCTGAGATCAGAACAAACAAAATAAATAAATACATGAAATATAACAAACATGACCATCCACACCATTATTTATTTATTTATTTACTTAAGACGTGTATGTATAGCTGTTCACTCATTCTCAGTGACTCTGGGAATAGAAACCTAATATAACAACAACACCACACCACACCACACCACACACACACACAAACACCAAGAATCAATCAAAAAAGCCACAAGCTCCA